ATTTACATGGAGAGCGACCGCTGACCACCACTTTTCTGGAAACTGCCCCAAAATGAGACGGCGGCGGAGGGTCCTGGGACTTGAGCTAAATGACACACACGTAAGCAGCCACGCGTTAACAAAAAGTGGCACAACTTTTCCACTCTCTTCTGGTTTGTTTTTCAGTTTGAAGTCCCTTGGTTTTTATAAATGCATAAAAATGGGCGGGCGTGGAACGTGAGCTGCTGCTGCCAAAAAAAAAGGAAAACTAAATAAAAACTTGTTTCATTTGCGCAGTGGAAAAACTTTCGTGCCGCCGCCGCATCGGCATTAACAACACTTAAAATGCCTGCGGCGTTTTTCCTTTAATACGAGTGGACAGTCCAGAGTGCGGTCCTCGAGCGCTTCTTTTTTGCCCAACTTTCCTGGGCTGACCACTTCAACGGGAGACTCTTTTCTGGGTCCCTTTTTTTAAGGGGCCTTCCTCGTGTTGATTTAGTCAGCGTTTAGTTTCCTTTTTGAGCGGATTTTGTTTATTTAATGCTTACTTACACCTCGTCTCTGGTCCAGCTTGAGGCGACAATTGTAAGTGAGTGGCATTTAGTTTCACTCGAGTGAAAGACAGATTCGAAATGGAGGAGTCCCCAGAGAGATTTAAATGCCAACAAATGGAATTCACTGTCTGATTCATTTGCATATATGCACGGGGGATTTTCAATACACACAGACCACAGCAAAGAGCCAAATCTGTTAACGCTTTAGCTAAGTTTAGTTAAGTTTCAGTAAGCCGAGCTGAGCTCAAAAATCAATAGTCTATTTTACGCCAAATTTACTGCCCCAAAGCCCATGAGGAAGCTCTAGTTGCCGTTGGCTGTGTTTTCTGCTCCATTGGGCTTGGACCACTTCAATTCTAGTTGTGGCACTGATTCCCTGATTAGCGAGAAGTTCAGGCCAAGTTTACGGTGCGGAATTTCAGCCCAAGGAAGCGACAGAGAATAAGTTTGCAATAATTCAAATGGCGTTTTTTGTATACACGAAAAAAAATGAGCTGAGTAATAAATATTTTTTACTTTTTGGGAAAGAGCAATAACAATTTTTTCAATGTCAGTTCTTACGATAAACGTTGTCAATATTAGGCAAAGGTCAGATCTTCAATCAAGTAAAAGTACTTAAGAGCTTATGGGCTGAGAAATAGTTTTCCGTGTAGCGCTGCCAATTTCTGTATTCCATTTTATACAACTTTTTTTGGCGAGTCAACAAGCCAAGGATAAGTGCATTTCTTGGGGGCATTTCTTCAGCAATTTTTCGTCTAATTTATTTGCACTCCACTTAGAGCTGCAGCAGTCTCAAGTCAAATACTTAAACACTAAAAGCGAACGGTTTTCAGCCTCAGTATGTTCCTTATAATTCCTATAAGGACTCCGTTTTATAAGGCACCTAACTGCATTTATAATTCCCCGACTTAGGGGATATAATTAGCACCAAATAAGTTGAGTTGGCCCGTTGCACTTTTGAATTAAATCATCCGCCTTTACGGCCCACTGCTATCTTACAGAAACTTTTCTTCTTTCTGGTCAGAGACGAAAAAAAGCTGCCTTTGCTTTCCCTTTGTGTTTCTGCAACTTGACCGTTGCCGACTTAATTAGAGTTGGCTTTCATTTGGAGCCGCTGCCTCTTTCCTGACAATTTTTTCCCCTTTTTTGCTCCACGGCCTTCGCTTAACTCGGTGTAATGTGGCCGCCATATGGCCAGAATCCAATTGCAGTGGCAGCGGCGAAACACAATTACGTTCGCACTCGCTTTTTTGTGTCATTCTGCTTTTCTAATTTCAGTTCCATTCTTTCAGTTATCCTTTCGCCTGCGCCATGGGCAACTTTCGTTTTTAACTTGATTGCGATGCTTTCATTTTTTCTTATCTAGGGCTAAAAGTGGGCGTGCCTGTGGCAGAATTATGCACCACGAAATGCAATTATGTAAATGTCCTTGTCGAAGGAATCGAAGTTAATTAGATCGCAAATTGCAAGTCATTTGGTCCCCAGATCCCTGACCCTGTCTCAATGTGCAGAATGAGAATGGTCCAGGGAATTGAGTACAAACTGAAATTGGTTACAAAAATGTCAGTACTTTTTTAACCAAAAAAAGCTTATTAATGTCAAGCATGAAAAACTGGCTAAGCTTCAGCCAAAGAGGCTTCAATACCAACGAGTAAATATATTTATTCCTTTTGTGTAATGAAGTTAAGACAACTATTATTAACCATGAACTTAGATATACTTTAGTCAAAAGAGAGTTTATCCTTATTTTTAATGAAATGATAAATATGAATGTTCGGTTGGTGCACTTAAAAACTTTACAATATGAAAGTGTGGGCAAAAGCTAAGCTATTTTTTTTTGGGTTTCAATAATGCAAGTGACAGGACTTTACTTTGTTCTTACCAAATAGTTTCAATTCTTAAAACGTATTTTAAATGAAAGCAAAACGATTGAATTTGTTTAGCACCTCAGGCGCCATAAATAACACAACTAAGATATTCGACAAAAATAACGGAACCAATTTTATATCAACGAAAATATTCGGATATATGAAAAGCAAAAGAAAAAACAAAAATAATAAATTGACAGTTTGCAAACAAAAGTCGTTTATAGAAAAAGTGAACCCAATCGAATGCAAATTTGCATTTCCATTCTGAGTTGCTTATTTCCACTAGGTTTTAAAATAATGCACACAAATTCCTATTTTTCATATTTTTATAAACTTTTTTATTGGTATTTTTACAGCTCTTCTTGTTCATATATTTGTGAAGTTGCCGCCTCCTTGACGTCGAATTCGGTCTATTTTTAAATGCCCTGCTGACGTCCCCAGTAGCGCTTTATTTGGAGGTGTGTGTGCTCCAAGTACTGCGTCTCAAGCATGGGGCTTCGGTTTTAATTAACTTGCAATTAAACAAAATTTATTGGCGCACTTTGATGGTCGTAAATTAGCTACTCGAGTTACTTCGAAAATGTCAGCCGTGTAAATCAATTTCGACTAACAGTCGATTTTTGCGTGTGCCCCAATAAGGGAAGCCAAACGTGAAAGTCTGAAATTGACTGCCATTTATCCTCTTTGCCGCTGCACATATTGAAATGGGTGTGAAAGGTGCGAGAATTGGTCCTAAAAACTGTGACACCTGACATTTTGAAAGTCGGTGATGGAGGTATATAGGTTGTTAAACTTATTAAGATTGCTGAGTTGATACAATCAAAAGGATAAATAGGAGAATTAGAAATATTTTTTCCATTACCTTACAAAAAATGAAAAAATGAAAAAAATGAAAATTCGATGAAAGTATTGAATTAAAGCGGTTAAAAACTAACAGCTGGGCGGATAAGACCGGCAAGTAGATAATAGTTAATAAACGTTATTCAATAGTAATATAATCTGTTAATAAACAGATCGTTTTCCAGGGTACCAAAAATGCTGTAGATTTAGCTTCACTTTCGGTATTTCTTTTTGCTCTAACTTGGCACTCCCCCTAAAAACCTTTTTTGACTATTCTCTTTTTCCCAGTGGCTTCACCAAATTGGCGATGAAGTGAAGGCACGATGAAGAAGTCAAACAAGTCACTTAGCTACTGCGTGCTGCGATGCAAAAACGCTTGGCAGGTAGAGGTAGACCTAGGTCGGATTTTAGCTTAGTCTCTTTTCGGGGGAGTTCACTTGTTGGCATGTTTTTTTTTGTTGGTTCTTGGCTAAGAGCCAAGCCTTTAACTTGGCTCCGTTCTGTGCACTTAGACTTAGAGACAGATATGCTGCAGGAAGTCTTCGATAAGCTAAATCTTTCCACTTGGCTTCAAAATATGTTTATTTCTGTATTAACGGAGCGGAAGCTACGGAAATTTCCCCCATGAGACATCGAAAACGCTAGGAAGTTCAAGGAACGCTATATGCAGGGATATGCAGATATATTAATTTTGAATTTCCGTACAGAAGGTTCTTACTATATATTACTAATATATTTTCGTAAGTTTATTTATTACATTATGTTTCAAAAGGAACTAAATTGCCAAAAGTGTATATGCAAATTTATTTTTTTATATTGCGAAGAATTAACGTCTTAAAGGTAACAGTAACTGTCATAGCCTTTTCAGAAAATTTGAAACAATGCTTTTTTGTAATTGATCATTTTGATTATACCGTTATCAATCTTACTTGTTTGTATTAGACTTAAAAAGTTATTATTAGTGACTAGCGAGTTACGTTTCGATGTAATAGCTTTTAATAATATTATTATGTTTTCACTCTAAAACAAGGGAGATCGCTATAGTCGATTTCCTCGACAATTAGATATCCGTTACTTAGCAATTTATTGCAAACTAAATTCTCTCGCCAAAATAATCGCGGTCTAGGTGGCGCCATCTGCCGAGCAGCATTATTGCGGCTAAGAGAGTACCGCACCCCCACCCCCGTTAACAGTTCTTTCGTGTTGTGTGTTTACATATACGATCACCGGCAGAGCGGCAGCCGAGCAGCGGCAGCCGAGCAGCGGCAGAGGATTTAATTACTTTATAACTTCTAAAATAATAACTCGATTTTGAACATTTTTGTGTCTACCGAAAGATAGGACCGAAAAACCCACACAGAGTCCTCCGTTTTTAAATACACTTACAATCTGCACTCTAAATCCCAAATCTTTAGCGTGTATAGTTCCGAGATCTCTTCATTCATACAGACGGATATGGCTAGATCGACTTGGCTATTGAACCTGATCAAGAATATATATACTTCTTAGGGTCGTACGAATGCAATATACCGTTTTACTCTACGAGTAACGGGTACAATTGCTTATCCTATTAGCTATTGCTAATTACCGAAAATGTCGTAAACAAAACAGAATACTCTATTTCGTGTGCTAGACTTTCTGGTACAAAAATAAAATTCTCTCACCGAAGAGAAGATCTTGTCAAAGAGAAAAAATCCCGGGAATTCTTAGCAATTCTTCCGCCGGATAGGACCGCGAACAGTTCCAGATTGAACGTAGATCGCGTCGGTTGTGGATCGCTTCGGTGTTCGTTTGGGTTGTTAAGTGGAAAGTCTTATGCCAAGCCAAACAGCAGTGAAATAAATCTTGTGCGCGATCCAAAAATAAATATCTGCAAAAGGGGGACAAAAGCAGAGCGCGTGCCAAGTGAAAATGTTTACGCGCAGAAGGCAGCAAAGTTAATCAGATAAAAAAAGAAGAGTCGCTGCAGAGTGATTTATTTTGAGTGCGGTTCAATCGAAGCCAAATGAAAAATAATCGAAAACGTCTTTGATTTATTTGCGCAAATCCACAGACAGTGACAAACGAAAACAGAGCCCCTGCCAAAATTGTTTTGCTCTACCGGCCAGATCAAAGGTACAACAACCGATCAGGCGCAAATTGGTAAATGCAAATATTGAAAAGTTAACAACGCGCATAATTATCTGCAATGCAATAGTCAAATAGCCTGTGAAAATTATTAATAAATGCGCTTCACTGGTCGTCCTTCCTTAAAAATACCACGATGGTTTGTGTCAATTAATAAACGAAATTCTCCTTCTCGATGAAACATACGCGCAATAATTAATATTCAAAAGTATGATTTAAATGAAGTGCATAAATTTACTTCTCTTTACATATTTCCCAATACAAGTGCAAAAAAATACTAAATGTTCACAATTTCAGTGGTATCTGACGTTCGTGAACATTTTTAAACATATGTATAAGCAACAAAAAAAAAAAAGACAAACAAGAATATAAGAATATATTTTGCAGATTGTTTATTAGATGAAAATTCGAGTGCTCCAAATTCCAAATGAACTGTTTAGTATTCTAAATAAAAGGCTTATATATTTACTAAATTCGAAGCCCAAACCGAATCCTTTTTCATTGCGCAAAACAATTGTGTAAACAAATTTAAATAATGTGTTTGTGTTTCGAGTAACCGAATTATTTAAAAATAAACTTTTCTATTAATTTGCGCGATAATGCACCATGCCCACCGCCCACTTCTGTGTGTTTTTACGAGGGAGACCAAAAATAAATCTCATAATTCGGCACGATCTTTTGCATTTAGCCTGGGGTTTGTTGAACTGTTTGTCGCGGTTTTGCATTTGCCTATTTCCAAATTTTGTTCTGTTTTCTGCAAGTCAGCTAAAATTAGTTGCAACTAATTTGTTGTTGTTCGCTCGTACTTTATAGTTCCCATTTCATTTGGCGTGTCAGAAGCGACAGCTTTCGATGCGTCGACATTTCTGTGCTAATTATGCAAATTTGGCGTTGTGTCCGTGCGCTGTACAATGTTGTTTTCCGGGGGGTTAAGGGGCCTTAACCCATGGCACCCCTGCTACGTGGCCCTCCTGTCATCATTTGCATCACAAAAGGGTTGGGTGGAAATCTCGCCGGAATTGTTACATCGCTGGTGGAATATAATTTATGACACTGTCACATCTGTTTGGAAACTATGTCGAAAGTGTTTCGCTATTGATTATGCGATGCGGATGCGGATGGGGATCCACTTTTGCTCCCGTTTAAACTTTATTCAAGCAGGCGGCACGCTTCAATTGACCCACAAATTGTGCGTTTTCGTAATCGAAATGCCAAATGCTCGGCTGAGTGACTTCATCAGAGCAAGAAAAGCATTTCACAAATTGTTTTGACCAGCCCAAGTGGACCGGCAGAGAATAAGTGACTTCGCGACAGAGTAATCCAAATCAAATCACTTTACTTAAATTCCAATTGCACTTTCCCGCTTCTCCAACTCTCCTTGATTTTCCCATTTTCCCAACTTGTTTCCGTTTGGTTTTGCTTTTCGCCAGCTGCCAGCTGCCAACTGACAAGTTTGTCTTGTGATTTCTCCTTTATTTTCGCGAATTCTTCTATTTATTTATTTTTGCCATTGGTGACGACATTTCGTGGAGTGCGCGGACAATGCAGCAAAATTCCGTGAATATTTTCGCTCATTCGTTTTTATTTTTAAGCACTTGGTGTTTATTTTTAACGCTGTGCATTTTGTTTAAATTTGCATTGCCACTGTGTTTCTATTTCTCTCTTGTTATTTATTTTTTATTAGTCCCATTTTTAGGAGCAAGCATTTGCAGCTCCTGCACTTTCAGCTTTCGTTTTTTCGCAATTTGCATTTAATGGCCACCGACAGCTGTCTTAATTTACTTTCACTTGGTGGATACGTTAAACCGACGGATCGCCAAGAAAACATCACTGAAATAGCATTGATTTTCTCTTTCGTTTCGTTCTAAAAATAATAGAAATGTTATAACAAGATAGCTAAAAAGCAACATCCGCTCATGTGGACTCTATTAGCTTTCGAACGGTTTGGTCGGAGAATTTATGGAACTCACTTCTGCAAAGGCGCTTTTCACGGCTGTCTAAGTGCTCGGAAAAACTCCACTTTAACACAATTTTTCCCACCCAATCTTCGCGTAAGTTAAGGTCAATTCTATATATACAGCATTTGACATTTATTTGTGTTTGTGATGCAAACACCCTCACGCACAAGCCATACCCGGAGAAACACACACTGTGTCAGTAAAAAGACTCACAAAAAATGCAATAAATAACAAAATCATATTTAAATTTGTATTATTCTTTAGGCTGTTTGATTTTTGCTGATACCCTGATGTTGGATTTATGGTACTTCGTAGAAATGAAGAAATACATTTTCAATATTTTTTTTATAAGGGGCAGATAGAATTATTATGGAAATTACATACATAGGTAGAGATAAGAGATAACCTGTGCATATTAGTTAGTTAATTACATTTTCCAAACTAAAATTGTACGGTTTTTTTATTGATGGTGATGGAATTTTTAAAAATATTATATTAATTGAATATATTACATTTTAGTTTAATAATAAAACATGAATCAACGCACAGACTAAGTTTAAGGTACTTTTTTGCCTTTGCAACAATTGAAATAAATGTGAAGTACATTAAAATCTTAAGTATAAATAAGGGCATTTAGATTTCGGCTGTCACTTTTTCCTTCAATAATTTTGTGTTCTTTTGTTATTTTCTTGCTCTATTTGTTGTTATTGTGAAAAATGCTTTTAGTGTGTCAGTGCGTTGTAATTATATTGATATATATACACACACGGTGTCCCACACTATGCCTCACATTTTAGGCCCTCACACACATGTGCCTCCCATGTGCCACCCCCCTCCCTACGTCACTGCGCTTTTCTTAGCGCGCTCGTAAAAAAACATTTAAATTCCTTTTCATTTTTAGAATTGGCGTTTTAGCTTTTATAGCGAAATTAGCTCACTTCGCTGGCGTGTCGACATAAATCGAAATGGAAGAGAAACAGAGGAACCTGGTTCAATTTTCATTGGTACTTTTGGTTTTATGATTAATCGTCATGGGAAATCTTTGGCTTTTCCATTCCATTTATTTCTGAACGCTCCTTGTTTACGTTACGCAAATGTGAAACTAACATACGAGGCACTAAGCTCTGAAAAGCCTTCGCAACTTATTTTCCATATGTCAGGACTTGAATGACGGACGTTTGTTCAGCGCCCGTGTTTGTATACAAATACCCGATTTAATGGCAACTTCTTATCACTTTTAGCATGAAAGGCAATGGAATGAAGTGTAGGAAGTTTCTTTCAATTCATTTTCATTCTTATTCACTTCAATTTGATCGAATCGATTTGACAAAGTCCAAAGGCATTCATAACTAATGGGCCACTATAAATAATTGACTTCCACCATTCCACCATTCCACCATCGAAAAGTCCTAAAATAATATTTGAAATTCTGAAAATGAACAGCACATTGATTGTCAGCCACACATGAGAGGGCATGTCAGTTGGAAAATGCAGGGGCACTGAGAACTGAACGATGACTCAATCAGAACGGGCCATTAATTTCGGATATGAATTGTCTTAAAGGGGGTCGGCTTTTGCTTTTCTACATTTTTTCATGTTCCATGAAGACTAACCAAATTTTCGTTTAAATTTAAAATTTTACTTGTGATATACATTGTTTTTGTTTCTTAAAATTTGAACTTAACACTTTTTTGGGTTTTGGAGGACAGAGAATTGTATGAACAACTTGCACTACTAAAATGTTGAGGGAATATGTAAATGGCAGAATTAGTAAACTTGTGAAACAAACATTAAAAGACAATGAGATTGTTAGCCGCCTTCAATTTACTAAGTGTTTTTACCGAAATTTTCTTTGTGCTTTTCTTTTCGCACACAATGTTTCGGCTTACGAAAGCAGTCGAAACTTTTTGTAGCAAGTTAAATTAAATACAGAAAAATCTGGACAAAGGAGGAAGCCCAACCCAAACGTAAATAAACGGTGGCAACTATTTAAGACACTCAAAGAAAATCCATGTAAATATAGAGTCCAGAAATTGTTAGCTATTCGGTTGGCCCCAACCAACACGGCCAAGAAGGAAAACAGTGAAGCCGAAAAAAAGAACAATTAGCCAAACGGGAAAGACAAACTCGAGCGGAATGTGAAAAGTTTGCCAACAGCAGAGCGTTCAACAAAATTAGAATTGAAAATATCAGCGAACAGCAGAAAGGTCCCGGAGGCGGAAAACAAAGCCATGAAGTTTCGTTTGGCAGCATTTTGGCTAATTCTGCTGACAGTTGGCGGCAATCACAAGCAATTAAGCCACGTTTGCACGTGGGGCGTGGCGGCCGAGAGGCAGCTGCACAAAGGAAATGAGCTGGAAAACGCAATGAAATTGCGGGCGACCTCGATGCCATCGCCGCCGCTTATAGGGGACATCACGACCACGGTTCACCCGGATCCGAGCAGATCGATGGGCCTCCAGGCGCTGCGAGGCGCCAAGGCTCCGCCGCCCAGTTTGGAGCTGCACCTCAGGCAGAGCGTGGCCCAGCTGTTTGCCAGTGATGAAACGACCGGTGGCCCTGACGTCCCCCCTGACGTCCCCCCTGACGTCCCCCCTGACGTCCCCCCTGACTTCCCCCAGCCGACATTCCGGCGACAACCACCCATCACCCGGAGCGGCGACATGTGGTGCCCGACAAGCTTCAGTACACGAAGGAGATCCTGGTGAAGCAGGGTCGCCTCATGGGCATCACGCGTCGCTTCCAGGTGACCAGCGGACTGGGCCAGGTTGACCAGTTCCTGGGGCTGCCCTACGCGGAGGCTCCGACCGGCAATCGACGCTTTATGCCACCAGGTGAGTGCACATAGTTATAGACCCATAAGTCCCACCTTATCCTCAAAATGTCCCTCGAGCTGTCGTCTGTTTTCTAGACTAAACCAGAAAAAAAACAAGACTTTAAGCATTAAAATATATAATTTTTTAAAGGAAAATGTTTTCACATAAATCTATACTTTTTTAAATGCCATTTTCTGTGGCTTACATGTATTCATGGCCAGCAGATGGGATTACAGCGGATTGCTTAAAATCCACGTGGCATTTGTTATATTATATAAAATGTTGCATAAATCTAATTTCAAACCATTGAATTTCAAACACAAAATGATTATCAAAATCAACAAGATATAATGCAATCAAATCCAATGTTTAAGCCCCTGGGTAATCACGAGTGAACACATGTACATTTTGACATTGTTAATTTTCAAATAAACAAGATTTAATGAAACAAAAGGTTGTTTGCATGAACTTGTGACTGTGTGACCTTAACTGCTGAACATGCTTCATTGAAAAGTGTTACGTACGACTGACAATACCAATTTATATAGTTTAACAGCTGCGAAATCCTAGCTTTTTGGTTTTCGGCTTACCTTTCCCGCCGTTGGCAGTCAGCACTGTTTGTGACCGCAAATATGATGGCAAATTGCCACTTTGCAGCACCAACAGGCAAACCCGCAAACCTCGAAGCCCAAAAACCCCAAAACTTGAATGGCCGACACATGCCGCCGCACTTCCCCTGCTGTCCACATCCTCTGGAACATCCTGCTGGTCCGGGACGCTGCTGGGCACTTAGAATTTAGGCTGCAATTTAAGCAATTATCGTTGAAGCTGCCCCGGCATTAGGCTTTCAAAACTTGACATCTGCCCCCTGTAGCACCGATCCAGCAGGATGCTGGGGCCGAAAGCCTCACGTGCCTGTGTGTGTGGGCTTCCTGTCTCGAATGGCTATTATTATTGCAGCTTGTTTTTACAAGGATTGCAATGTAAGTCCTCCTAGTTGGCCATTCATTTGGCCATATGCTGGCCGATTATGTTGAGGATCTTGTACACGAATATTTTCTGGTTTAATTAAGGGTGAAGAACGATAGTGTTATATGAGCTTTTCGTTTGTTTATCAAAGCATAACTGGTCTGTGAGATTTGTGGCCGCCAAGCTGCCAACACTCCCGCCAAAGTTGGGGCCTTAGTCCTGTTGTTCGAGCCATAAACTGGGCGCAGCCTCAGCTGTTGGCACCAGAACTTCCTCTTTGCCACTGGAATCTCCGGTTTTATTTGGCTTGCACTTAAATAAATTTCGAGCCAAAAATGTTCCTCTTTTCTAAGGAATTGGTGAATTGCAAATAATTCCCTTTGTCGACAGCTAAATTAATTTTAAAGCTAATCTTCTAACGTGAGTCGAATATATCGCTTAACAATTTACATAAGCTCGTTATTTATACATATCTTATTGGGAATAATAATCATTAGAGTGTGTGATGAATATCAAAAACTAGAGTTTTTTATTTTTTAAATAAAGGTAAAAATATCAAAAATGGGTGGTAAAGACATGTATGCTTAAATTACAAATGTCCTAAATATGTTAATCCAAAGAAATTATAACCCAACGTTATAAAATATATGAACTACAGAAGAAAACAAAGGCAATGTTCTTAGTGTAGGTCCAACGCTCGGCGGTATAGTTCCTCGTGCCTTTGAATTGCATTACGTAAGGACAATAAATTAACACGCCCCGGAGGCAGGCGAAAGTGTTGGCCGCGATTTGCGTGTCAGATGGGCTTGGTTGCAGTTTTGCGGTGCAGTTGCCAGTGGCAGTTCCAGTTTGCTCTTGGCCGTTTGTCGCGCTGAGTTTATTGAGCACTTGAGTGCCATGCACTCAATCCGAGCGGACAGCAGCAACGAAGCAGCAACGCAGCAGCAACACAGCAGCAACATATCGCTGCACCGCAGCAACACCAACAGCAGCGACAACTGCTGACGGGCGGAGGCGCCATATTTGCCAGGGGACGTTATTGTGGGCTTGCCATTGCAAACATGCTGTCGCCGATACAACTTGCCTTCGAATTCGCGGCGCAAATATAAGCCAATGCAAATATGCTCACGTTGCGTATGCGTAATGTGTAGAGAGCCTGTCAAAGCGGAGGACATTCAGACCCGTATGCAAACAGAGTCGTGTTCGTTTGTGTGATAGATTTGGTTTGTGCGCAGCGACCCAACAAATAAACATTGCTTTCGATTCAGCTCTGCGTTTCCTATTTCCACTGGAGTTTGGCGAACCTCTTCCTTTCGCCCGTCGCGAAATTTATTAATAACGAAATGCAAATAATGCTCACATTCGCATATTGGATACGAGTCCCCATGTTTGGAGTTTGCTCTTTTCTTCGCATTTTTATGGGCTCAATAACGCGACGAAATTAAATTTGTCCGCCGCGAATGTGTCAAAGTATAAATGTTGCATATTTTTGGGCATCCGCGCCAGTGCCAAATTGAAATGAGAGTTGATTTTGATGAATAAACTTTTTGAAATAGAAATTTTGTGCACAGCAAATAACAAGGCCTTTCTCAGTGGTTGTTAAAAGATTTAATATATTTGATTGGGTGGATAAGTATTACGAACAATTCAGTACAAATTATCGAAACTTTTTTAAGAAGTAATCGATACATGTATTATTTATTTAAATTGATAATCATACATTAACAAGCAAGATTTTTCATTCGGATATTTTATTGTATTGATTTCTTTCCGTGTGACATTTGTTTGACTTGAACCAATTATTGCCAACAGGGAGGGCTGTGTTAATATTGTTATTGAATTGACGGGCGCCCCCACTCAAAGCAAATTTGCAATAATATTTTCAATCAAGTCTGCGTGATTGAAGCCACTTAATTTGCCTAAGCCCAGGCATTTGCATATCGATCGCTGCTAAATAACCGCAAAACAATCTGAAGACGTAACAATGTGGTGTCAAAATTTGTAAGCATTTGCCAACCCGCCTCCGAGATGGATTGCCATGTGTGCTCCGAAACCGCATGAATTTCGATCTGGAGCAGTGACCAGAATCCGAACTAACTTGACCAAATCGCGGTTGGCCATTCACCGGCGATTCCCCGCAGCTGCGAGCACTGTTTGACGTTAACTGCAACACCAAAGCGTAACCGCAGTCAACTTGGCCACGAATCGGACCCGGCCAGAACCAAATGCCAAATGCCAAACACCAAATACCAAATACCGAGCAACGAGTGTCCTCTGGTCTCCAATGGCCCTTGTGTGCAGGAAGCTCTGAGTGTGGAGCTCTGCAGTGTGAAGGCGGTGTGTGTTTGCTTGTTTATGGCGTTTTCAAGTGCCTGTTGACCGTGTTACATAAATACGGAATTGACTTTTTGGCCAAAGCGCTTCGAAAGCAATCGAATGACTGCGAAACTGTGAGAGGAAAGAACGAATGTGTTTGGCCACAAAGGGTTAGGACGCTAGGTAGTGAGGCATATTATATTGTTGAGGGAATTTTATTGGAACAACTTTTCTTATATCAACAGTTTCATTAAATTAGTAGTTCAATAATAAGGGAGTTGGTTGATCAAAACACAAAACTTTTTGTTTGCTTTCTAAGTGGCTAACACTTTGGTTTGATATAACATGGCAATTAAACTAGATTTGTAATTTACAATATGGAATTGTATACCTACAAGTGCGGGTCACACCTAAAATTTATTATCACTGGTGTGGGTCAATGGTCCTCCAGGTCAGCAGATAAGATAGTTCAGATAAGAGCAAGAATCTCATGTTAAATAAACCTACGTTCAAACATAACTTAACAAATTTTGAATAGTTTTTATCGGCCGTTTTAACAAACACAGTGAGTTGCTTTATGGAAAGCCTATAAATTTTAACTAGACAATAACTTAAATAGAATACCTTTAAAGCTTTGACGATTTTCAAGAATTCAATTCAATAGGCTGTCCATTTACCAAAGTAAGAGAAGGCTAATATAATAATCGATTTTCGCTTTTTACTCGTTTTTATAGTCACTTGTCCATTATTTTCCAGGTGCCCCCTTGCCGTGGCAGGGCCTAAAGATAGCGCGCCATCTTCCCCCAGTTTGTCCGCAGAAGTTGCCCGATCTATCGCTCCGCGGCAGCGAAAATATGTCCCGTGGTCGCCATAAACACCTGAGTCGCCTTTTGCCCTACCTGCGGACGGAGAGCGAGGACTGTCTGTATCTCAATCTTTATGTGCCGCACGACGGTGAGTTTGCCGGGATGGCAATTATACTTAAGCCATGGATTTTAAGTGGGTCTATTTTTATACCCTTGCAATGGGTATTATTTAGCTGCTCTTCGAAGATATGAAAATATATATGTTTTTAATCAGCATGACAGGACGAGTTGATATAGCCATCCGTATGAAACAAGAGAGTTAAGAATTAACAAGATGTTTCGAGTTATGCCTACGCAGCGCAAGGTTATTTCAAAATATAGCCACGCCCTCTTTAACTACCAAAAATTGCGAGAGTCTATGTCACTCTAAGATATAGTTTTCAAAATCGAACCATTTTTATAGAAGCTATCAGCGTAAATTTAAATTTTTTTAAATTTTAAAATCTGTGGTGCAATTTGTTTCTACATCTACAGTACTTTTCAGAAAACAACATTTGTCTTAAGTCATTTATTTTTTTTCTAAATCATTAATAATAATTTATTTTATTTCTAACACGTAATGAGGAGATCTAGAAAATTTTGGTTTTGTCTCATAATAATCTTTATAAATATTTTTTTTTTTAACTTTAAATATATGTAATTTATATATACTGTACTCTAACTCCTGATTTAACTCCCGAGGCCAAATTCGAAATAACTTGGTTACCTTTGACTTCGTTATAACTTATTGTACTTTTCTCATCATGTTCAACGGAATTTAGACAAAGACATTTCTTTTTTATGTGATTGTAGTTTGTGGATCAGTAGTTTTATCCACGTATATGAAATAATTAAAAACTTGAACCAGGGTAAGCGTGTGAATTTATATTTCTGCCACCAAAAGGAGTGTATCAGTTCTTTAAATTCTATTCTATATCGTGTGGTATTTAGCGAGAAAATACAAACAAAATCAGAATAAATTAATCAATTGGCTCGTTCAAAATATTATAAGTTTTGACTTTTTAATACTTGAGGATTATTTTAAAAGTATTTATTGTTTGACAAATGGAATAAGTCATAAAACCACTGTTATTTTTGGCTAAATAGAAATAAAAGGTCATGGAGACTTTTATGCAAGCCTCTGGTTTTTGTTACAATAAAGTAAAAAACCCCTTTGTTCTTACATTTTTTAGAGCCTCAGAGTACTCCCAAGCAGTACGCAGTCCTGGTTTACCTGCATGGCGAGTCCTTTGAGTGGAACAGTGGCAACCCGTACGATGGCTCCGTCCTGTCCAGCTATGGGGAGGTCATTGTGGTCACCGTCAACTACCGACTGGGAGCGTTGGGTGAGGTCGTGACTCAATGATAATTTCCTTCAGGCTAACCGCATTCTCTGCATTCCGCTCAAAGGGTTCCTGAGGCCCAGCATCGATGCGCACAACATAGCGAACTACGCCCTGCTCGATCAGATTGCGGCGTTGCACTGGATCAAGGAGAACATTGGAGCCTTCGGCGGCGACAACTCGCGCGTCACTCTGATGGGCCACAGTACTGGAGCGGCGTGTGTCAATTACCTAATGGTGTCGCCGGTGGCCTCAGGTGAGTCCGCTGCACCACGACTGACATAACTCGATGAGAACGTATTGTGTGCCCCCACCGCAGGCCTCTTCCACCGGGCCATCCTCATGTCCGGATCCGCGATGTCCGACTGGGCCGCCAGCAATCAATCGCTGCAATTGACCATGCAAATCGCCCATGCCCTCGACTGTCCGCTCAACGAGCACGTGGGGGCGGAGGACGATGATGTCCTGCTCGATTGTTTGCGCCATCGTCGGTGAGTAGTCCTCGACCAATTGAATTATTTAGGTGCCATGCGGAACATTATAAACAGTCGCAAATCCGTCTAATGCCTTTCAGTACGCTCACACGGAGAAAAACAATCCATCATTTAACTAAGAGAGAATTTATTTTATTAATTTATATGAGCTAAAACGCGATCTGTTAATGTTCAAAGGCGAGAGGTCAAACAGTATTATGAATTTAAATTTCCCATGCATTAAGACATCAGTTGTATATACCACTTTTTATTTCAAAAAGCGTTTTTTTTTAAGCGAGATTTACCTTTTTTGCGCATGTATTTCGATCTGTTTTGTCATATCGTGTTATTCCCCTAGCACTATTTTTCGGTCGGTGCTTTTTGTGACGAATGTGAATGCGTCTACTTCATTTGTGCAGGCATCTTCAATTGAATAGTGTTTTGTGTCCTTTGACACAATTCGTCAGCCCAATAGAATTTGGCGGCTTTGTGACCTGCCTAATGATTCGGTAAATTTACGAGCTTGCAGTGCCATGATGTCAATGAGGCGTAAAGTCCTTTGGGCCCAACATCTCCCTCTAAGTGCGCCCAGGACCTTGACTAATCACGCATAATGTCCATGACGATGGTTGGGAATTTGCATGGCCGTTGGCCGAAACCTCTTGTGTCCACTTGAACGGTAGGTCATGTTTTGATGGGGAAACGCCCACCAAGTAGGTGATGGATGGTAGGACTTCCACCTAATTGCTTTTTATTTGATTAGTTAATCAAGCTTTCGCTCGAGTTTAAGAAAAGATTTATTTGCCTCTGCTTAATTCTAATTAGGAGAAAAGTTTCTGCTCTCATTCATTGATTAAATATTGAGGTATTTGTTTGGCATTTCGGCTTAAAAGCTTTGCCAGAACAGTACTTAGTGCTCTTGTATTCCGGTTTTTTGGTTCCTCTGATAGACAATCTCGGCAAGATCGACTCGGCTGATGATCCAGACTGATATATTTTATTGGGTCGAAAACGATTACTTCGAAGTACATGTCACATACTTTTCAACAAGAAAATAATATGTATATATATCATATAATATATATAATATTCGCTTTACTATGTAGTAATGCGTATAAAAATCGGACTCCTAATGCCATATTGGCGAACTAGTGAGCTCGTTTGAACCAAAAATAAAATTACTTTTTAGTAACTCTTGAAAAATGAGTTTTAAAATCGATCTGGGCAGAAAGTTAATGTGTGTGAACAAATGTTATTTTCATTTCATATTCATTGCACGATTTTCAGCGGCTTATCCTATCAGGACGCGAGTATCCCTATCCATTAAAGCTTCGACACAAAAACTCCTGAAAGCAATCCCAACTTAAATGCATTTTTTATTTAGCAGAATGCACTGTGCATGTGTGTGGGGCATCCTGCGCTTGTGTGGGAGTCCATTTCTATGCGAAGTGGTCCACACAAGAGCGAGGGATGAGAAAAACAATTTGCATACAAAACGAAAAAAAGGCATGTAACTAAATATGTAAAACTAAATCAACAACGGCACAATAATAGTAATTATGTTAATTATGCCAGCACACTCACCCACAAACTGTCAGCCTTTCCGCTCACAAACACTACGATGCAGCAAGCTTTACAACAGACTTTGTCTGTGTGTGTGTATGCCTTTGAAAACTTTCTACTTGCTTTCTTGGCCTTAATACAAATTGGCACTGTAACTTGAAAACCCAAGCTAGAACTTTGGCTGACGTAAATTGTGGATATCAGCAGTAAAGGTATACGAAATTTTATATGGTCTACTGGCCAAAGAAAAAAACATGGAAAAACAATATTTAGACTGTCCAACATAAGCATATTGTACATTTAGTCAAACACAATTTTTAAATTAAGAGTCTGAATAAAGTATAACAGGTAATTATAAGTTATTGGCCACTTGCATTTTTTCAGTTTTTAAAAATGTAATTAAAATCACAATTATCTCTTTAATTTAACAACTTTTGTAGAAAAGGAGACGACTATTTCCAACATTTTCTGATCAGCTAAACTCCTAGGAAAGTAGTAGTACCCTAAATGAAAAGTTAATTTCGGAATGTTTTAATGAATGAGCTAAGCTTCGGTTTGAGCCTGAGAATAGCAGCCTCGTGTGGCAGCTTACTTAAATAACTGAGGGAACGAACGAGGGAATGAGTGAGTGAGTGGTGGTTGAGTAGCATGTGTGCCAGCCAGAGCGAGTGTTAAATGAATGCAATGAATTATGCATGAATTACTGAGCAAATGTGCTCATCGCTTTTACTGCAAGGGCACACAACTCACACTCAGCCACTGAAACACAAACAGGTAACAACTACCTGTGCAATCAATCGCATTTGTTTAACCCACTCACACTCACAGGCATAAGCCTTTGTCTCTGGGTCTTAAGTCTCCTACATATTTAATTGAACTTTTCCCCCAAATCCTGCCCATTGATTTGAATGTATGCTATTTCAACTTGTTCATTTATTCAAACTATTTACCTACTGTCCCAGCCTAATGTGTTTTCCTGCCAAACAGGACTTGTGATCTCTATTTACTTCTGACCATGCTTGTCAAACTATTGTCTTAAAATGTTTTCTGACTGCCCACTTGGCCCTAAAATGAGCAATACGTTGCTTTAGAATTCTGTCACTGAAAATAAATTTCTTTAAGCTGATTAATGCTTGAAATTTTTGAATCAGTAATGGAAAATTCCGGAATAAAAACTTCGTGAAAAAAACTTTTAAATGCGCTTATTGCAACGAAATCCTTAGTCTTTAAGCTGCTTATTTTAAAATACAAGAATTTAAATGCATAGGATAATTTAATAAACTAAAAAGTATTTTTTTATCAAATCTACAATTCATTTGTTGAATTTTTAATCGTCTTAAAATGCAACCAGGAAAGGCAAACAAACAGCTATATCAAGTATACGTCATGCTGTCCCAAAAATAATGCCCAGCTTTTACTTTGTTTATGCGTTGGCCATTTCTTGCAAATCATTTCATAAAAAGGGTAAAAACGTGTGTGGACCAAATGCGTGAAATGTTGTGTTCACTCAGTTTTCATGTTCGCTTTGGCGATGGTATTAGTACTAATAATTGGCTAAATAATAATAATAATACTAGCAGAGCTGCCTGACATGTAAATTACTAATCGCATTTCATGAATTCAATAGCAGAGGCTATTTTGATATGATGTTTTCAGGAATTGATGAAATTCATGACATAAACATAGTATTTGACACCAAGTGTTTGCGTTGTGCAAGTCGAGCGCTTTTAATTGACAAAATAAAAGGCATTGCATTTTAAAAATTCATTAAATAGAAAGCAAGCAGATGCAGACAGCTTAAGTGCGGCCAGGAACAAAAATACAAACCAGAACTAAAACTAAAACTAAAACTATAGCCGTGATAGGGACAAGGCTAAACTGGGGCATAATAAATGTTCGGTTCGCCTGCACAGGACTCGCTGATAGCGAGTGTGTGTGTGACGTTCAAGTAGCTACATACAGGCTTAAGGACATCATCAATCTTCGTTGCTGCCACCAGCACACTGACAAATTGTGCATCCAGCATCCAGTATCCACTATCCAGTATCTGTATCTGTGGCCCCACAAACAAAATATAGAGAGAGCTCGCACATATTGTGTGCCTAACGAGTTAATCGCTGTTGCAGCTCAACTTGCGACAGTTTTGCACCAGCCAAGCTAATAAGAAGCAACAACGGGGCAGAAATAAACTCTGCTCCATATGAAAATCATAAATCACACTGCTCCATGGCGAACGATTTCGCAGCAGCGACAACTATTGCCATGAAGGGGTCTTTCCCTAAACCCAGGACCAACTTACTTTCTCGGGACTGTCCGAATTGTTTTTGCTTCCACAAATTGTCAAAGTCAGAGGAAAACACAAGCTCACGTAGCTGTGGCCGTGCGGTGCAGACTTGAGCAATAAACTTGGCCATGTGCCGATAGCCAAGGGTCGGGATGACCACCAAAGCCAGGAACATGGGCTGCAGAACTTTTCCTGCACTGAAAAAATACTATTATTAACACAATTATTTTAGATTTGATATAAAATAACTTTAATTAAAGTTACTTAGCTTGCCAATGCTATGTTCTAAAGAATGCACTACGGGCTGGGCGACCAGGTTTTCTGGCCAAAACCAATTTTTTAAAAGTCCTTAATATCAAGATTTTATGACGTCATCGTGTTAACATAACATCAGACATCAATGTTAACGAGTTAAAAAAATGGTTACGATGGCGGCACCTTCAACATACAAAATATCTGAATTCAAATTTCGTGACGAAAAGTTAATAAGCACTTGGACTAAATAAATACACTTTTTAAATGTTTCCATTCGGACCGCTTGCCACAAAATTTGATTTCAGATATTTTGTATGTTGGAGATGCTCTGCCGTTGCTCGGCATAAGATAGTGTCAATGTAGCGGAGGATGGGTTGCTCGCTCTTTGTTTGTAGTGTTTTTAATGAAGTTCGGCAGATGGCGCCAGCTAAAACCAAATTTTTTTAGGGGAATATATATTTTTCAATTGTAATGATTAAATATTTAAGAATAACGGCTGTGTTGCAAGCTTCTAACTGACATTTTTATACCACCTCTGCAAGAGTATTAACCACTTTGCTATTTTTAAATTTTTGTAAACTTTATTTAAGATAAAGTATAGGTTAAATATTTTAGAATTGCGGCTTTACTTTTATTAAAATCGGATAGCTCTAACATATAGCTCCCATAGGAACAGTCGTAAAAGTGTATGCAAATATATACAAATAGAATTAGATCTTCGCTGTTTTTCAATTCATTTGGATCTACTTCCATATGAAGTCATGGTTGATTATTTCAGAACTACGTTTTTAAATTTATAAAACTATATCTTTCATTGGTCCGATCAAATAATTAATCAGAAATAGGCAATAAAATAGGAGTAATATAGTTGTTATTAAGAAAATTGTTATTTTTGCAATAGCTTCACGTATATATAAACTTCAACTTGCCAAAGTTCACTGCCTTTCATTTTTAGTATAAACATGAAAACTTTTTCCAAGTGTCTCAAAGTTAAATTTCTTTAAAGAGCAGCAAAGCTTAATCTGGTTTCGAAAGTGTTTGATGGCATTGCATCAATTGCTGAAGTCAGCTCTTAGCTCAAATGGATTACTATATTGTCCCTCCTTAACGGTTTCCCAAGGTGTTGAGTGAATTAACACACACATGCACCGACAGATGGCAATTTTCGGTATTTTTTCGGCTTAGCATGTGAATGGATGGCCGGAATCGTTGGCATCGTTTCCAATTGAATTTTTTTGTCCAGAGCTCCTTGGACTTAAGTTCAATTCATGCAAAAAAGGCTGAATGAATAAGAGAACTTTGGGTTTAATCCAGCCACATTCCCAGAATTATCGGTGATAGGCGAACCAGATATAATGACTATGCATACTGAGGACTGTCATTTGCTTCAAGGTTATCCCGAGCTGAGTATGCAGATGGTTCATTTGAATTTCTTCTACGAGCATTCCACCTCAGCTGCTTCGTTTCTGGTCTGCATTTCCCAGATAGCAATTGTCCAACTCAGGTATCCAAAAATATTCCAGATTTTCGTATTCCCCTCCATTCTTGTTGTTATATTTCTGTCGGTCCTTTCTTAATTTGTGCCAATTTCTGTGCCATCGACACTCCAGTTGGAGCTCTGGCATGTGGATTTTTATGCAAACTATGCCAGAAATTGCACCCAACTGAACCATTTCGCCACTGCAATTTTGTATCAATACGGGGTGCGGTGGTCCGCCCAAACGAAGGCCAAAAGAGCCACTCAAGCGGTTAAAAAGAGCAAAAAGCGTAAATATTGCAACGAACGGAAATGCTTTGCAGTAGGAGCAACTTCAAACCAGGGATCGCAATAGCATTCTATACGTGTGCTGATTGTATTTCATATCCACGTGGCATTTTTATGTCGGAAAAAGGGTTGAATTTCCCTGTTTGTGTTGGGAAACACACATATAAATACGAATGTAAATCCGTACGAGTATGTGTCTGGGAATTGGTTTGCACTGCGGCTCTATTATGGCTTTGAATGGGAAAAAATACTTGTGAAAAAGTGTCATAACTTTAGGAAGCAACGCAAGTGCCACTGATAAGCGCACAGACGTTGATGGAAGGCATTTGGTTACTTGTAAGAAAAATTGGAATATGTGAATATGGTATTGTAAATACCATTTTAGGGGGACTATAAACCTTTTTGATAAGCAGGTAACTGAAGAAGACATCTCTTTTCGGGACATTCGGATTAATCCAAGTGAAAGTAACTCTTAAGTCGTATGCACCCCTTTATTAGTCAAAATAAGACTAAATTCCATAGGAGCGCACAACTATAACAGCTTTTAGGATTTGTTTCCCCTAAATATTTTTATGGACTCGACCAAGGAGGCACTGGACGGATGGTGTGAATTTTGTGATTTAAGGAAGTATTCTTTGAATAATATACTAATTAACAGTTGAAAACTCCAAAAAGACAGCCAGTAACTACTTCAAATGAATAGCTCTTTGCCAAAGCTCACGGTTTCCAAAATATATATTTGAATTCATTATCCGATTTGAAATACTTTTTGCAATGTTTTTGGTGTTTATAGATATTACATCAACTCACGTTCACATTTTGCAAGCAAAATAAATAATCGTGATAGTAATAATCTACAATTCCGTTTCCATTTCGCTTCCCTAAATCACTACTCTTTCCTCGCCATAAACCCATCCATTGTAGTGTGAAGCTTAAACAATTTGGGTCATGACCTTAGCCCGACGATCCGTGTCCTGGAAGAGCGCCCGGATAAGGTGCCGGATCTCGTCCGACTTATAGAACGCGGTCAGTGGACCAGCGCCGTTGCACCACAGCTCCGTGATCTCCTTGAGCGAGGCGTTAATCATGGCCTTCAGCTGCTGCAGCTTCAGCCAGCTGAAGACCCGGACCACTTCGTTCGCCGTTTCCAGAACCCGACTAAACAGTCGGTTGCGGTAGTAGGTCTCGAACTGCTCGACGATCCTGCTCGGGATTGATGAGAAACGAGTCCGCCAGCAACTGCTCAAACTGAGTCACATCTTCGCACAGCGTTGAGGACTGAAGCTCCTCCGTGGTCTCGGTCACGGCTGGTTTTAGGCACGCATCCAGCAGCAGCTGCAGCATCTTATCCTTGACATGACCGCCAATGATGCTGAACACATGCTGCTCGCTGGACACACTGCTGTTGATGCCGGCCAGCGTTTGCAGCAGCAAACGATAAAGTACCGACGATAAACAAAACAAAAAGTGAGTGGACGCATATATTTCGACTCCGTTGTCATAAAGTAAGCATAGAGTGGGAACTATATAGAGGCACCATTTGCTCTGCCCGAACCTTTGCCCAAGCTCTGCTGAGAGCCATGTTCAAAGTTAAATTTGATTTCCCACCCCACTTTGAAGTTTTTGGTGCGAACTTGCAATTCGGTCCCGCGGTAAATTCGCAACTGCTTTGAAAGATAGTCATCTTTTAAATGGTTTGGAATCCCTAGGGCTATATAGCGCCAACGAAAGTTTGCCTACACACTTCTCAAATACCTGTGATTGACTTATTTTTTGTTAATTACCGCAGTAAAATTCTACTTTATGAACAGATATCTCTACCTGCTTTTTCCAGACGTGACTTAATATTTTTGACCTATGACTTGACTTTCGAACTTCTGTCAATTATAGAGACTATGGAAAAAAGCAAAGATCCATCCGATTCCGAAATCAAATAATGACTTCACACCCATCTCGATACTTCCCTTTCTGTCAAAAGTTTTTAAAAACCTTATGTCCTCAAAAATTAAAATTTTTTGAACGACAATGCACTGTTACATGAAAAAGACGTCTGGCTTCCGGAGAAAAAGAGGTAACATAAGTGCCATTACTGATATTGTGGAAAAAATAAAAATTATGTAACATTTTTAACGCTCCTTGATCATTTCAAAATTGTTAAGTTCTTACTTAACAGATAGAGTACTACGTGTAGTCTCTGGGCTGAATATTTCCACATTTAGGCAGCTCACAAGGGTATTTCCTCAAGGATCTGTGTTAGGGCCATTGTTGTTTTCTTGACTGAATGTGAAGTACACATATATGCTGAGGACGTACAAATTTATGTTAGTAACCCTGTCAAGGATATAAATGTGGTTTCCAGTATGAGTAACAAAATGTTATCCAAAATTGAGAAGTGAGCTAACAACAACGGCTTGGGAATATATCCAAAAAAATCGAAGTTTGTCGTTATTAGTAAAAGGGTGATCGACACAAGTGTTCTTCCAAAATTATTTATAAATGATACAGCTATAGCATATCGCTAAAGAAACTGGTCGCATATATGGTTTGTTGCGTCAGCTTTCACCTTTAAAATTTTTTGTACCTGAACAAATATTGTAAGAGTATTAATCTCAAAGTCTTTCTTGTTCCCACTGTCTTTTATGGCATAGAAATTTTTGGTCACTGTGTCGTGCGTGACATGCGCACATTAGTAGTTGCCTTTAATGCAATTGTCCGTTATGTGTTTAATTTAAGACGCCATGACCATTTTTCACTTTTAACATATTAAATTCTTGAAAGACTGGATAGATTTTAAAACTTTAGTATACTTTCACGAGATCGTGACGACTCGAGAACCGATTTACCTCTATCAAAAACTATTTCCTGCTACATCTCAAGGAACAAATTATTACCTATGCCCTCGTACTCTAACGCTTTGTTCGAAAAGGCAGTTCTTTAGTAATATTATCCGTTTATTGAACAATCTCCCTGTAAATTTAAAACTATAAGGAGCTCAACTCAGTTTTTAAATAAAGTTACAGAATTTATAAAAGCACACTAAAAGTAGTAAATAAGTAGTATTTGGTAAAAATCATTAAAACGTAAAAAAAAATAAAATAAACAAAATAAAAACAAAAAAAGTAATCTATATTCAATGTATATAAGAATTAAATGTTGATTAACTCTGTAATGTAAATGTTTGAAAAAATGTTAGTCTTTAAGTATTAAATTTATTGTAATTAGCCATTTTGTTGGCAATGGTACCAGCGCTATAATAATAAGCTTACGCTTGCAGCGCTAGGATATTAAATGAATAAAAAGTGACCTGCACCTCGGAATTCTCTAACTTTCTGCGAAGTAATTTCGCAATTCCCTAAAGACCATATGCGTATCTTGTATGCCATCTTGTTGGCTTTATGTGAGCCACGTGTGTATGGTACGTGCCAGCGACTGCCCAGCAAGAAATCACACATAAAATTTATTAGAAATTTCAAATCAAAGTGAAAAGTGACCGCTGTCAGCCAGCTGGGCCGCTACAATCTCTCCTCCTGAATATATCCATCTAGTGCCACATTTATACCCAACTCGTTTGTAAGACCTTTTAACGCATTTTGTGCCGTTCTTGTTTCTTTACAGCTACCAGGATATCTTGCACATACCAACGGCGCTCACACAATTTTCAACATCATTGGGTCCAATTGTCGATGGACATGTAATACCAAATCAACCGTACAAGGTCATGGGGCATTATACGGAGCACTTCAGCCGGTTTGTTAAGCAATTCCCTCCCGATTCTCATCCATTCCGATTGCCTTTTCCCTAACCTAAACCAATGCCCATTGCTTTGCGTTTGATATTTACTGGTGTACCGTGCTTTGGGGAGCTGTCAAACATTCCTTTTTTTTCATTTGACCCGGATAGACAGCTCATCGGACTATTTATTGTGCGTTACTTGATTAGACGTCTGGTATTTCTCTCACCGATGCGTTCTTTTGCCCTCAGGTGAAGTCAAATCGTCTGTTAAAATCGAGGCCTGGGGTAAACCATTTAACACGGAGATTTTGCGTTGGCGTTGGCTAAGATATGATCATCGAACAAATTACGATTCAAATGGAAGCCATGAAAAACATTTATTTCATCACCCATTGGTTCATTTCGGATAGTACGCCTGGCGCTATTTTTAGACGGGAATCGGGTTCACTTGGTTGTCAAGTTGAAGATGTAAAATTAAAAGCTTATGGTAACAATGAAACTTTTTGAGAAAACAAGTTATATGAAAATTTAAATTGATATAATAACTGAACATGGAAAGGTCACAATCCAAACAGTTGGAAACACCTCGGATTCCATAGTACTTTGACGTTAGAGTTGAATTTGATTCAAATATTTTCGAAACACTTTTTTCCGGTGTGCCAATCGCAAATTAAATAAGCCTTATACAAATAATGGCCAGGTCGGATCAAGAAGCTACTTTGATGCCCCTTCTAGATTATACCCATCCATCAATCAATTGGGCAACAAGTAATAGCTCAACTCCTCGCAGGACTCCTCACTCCTTCCAAAACACCCACGCAGGACTCCTTCCGCACTCCCATTTCCCCCAAAGGATATTAAGGCACGTGCTGCTTAGCTATTCAGTCAACCTAACACGGCATAATCTAATAAAATGCGTGATTAATTTGATTTTAATTGTTATCCTTTTGCAAGTCAAACGTGTTTGACACGCAGTGCCGGGAAAAATAGAATAATAGCTGCCAGGAAGAGCCATTAATTACGGCAGGCAGACAGAAAGTTCCGGGCGTAGAGAGCCCGGTCACGGGTGAGTTGGGAAAATTGAGGTGCAAGCACGTTTCACACGTTTTTCGGGGCGGGCCCCTCGACTTGGGCTTTTAATCACCTTAATCAGCGATGACCGAGGATTATGGTCTTACCAAATGAGTGAGGTCCTCGCAAAGTGCAGGCAGAGTGGTGCTCGAGCACGCTCAAGTGTCCAGTTGCCGTTCCATTGGCAACTCCCTTCAATTTAGCAAGTTTTGCAGCAGCTTTGCATGTCCTTTTATCGGGGCAAACTTTCCGGCCAACTTGAGAGGAACTTTTAATGCCATGTCCACGGCGCAACAGGAAGACAATGCCCAGTTGGGCAGCCCAAGGGGCTCCAGTGGGGCGTGGTCGGAGCTCCGGGCTGGAGTGGAACACTTCCCATAGACGAGCTCCAGGCGCACCATTTATCAGGCGGCGTAACAAGTTACGCCACAGGAACGAGAGCTCGTTTTATTTTAGTGCTTTTAACTGCGTTTTATGGGAATTCATTGGGCTGTTGTTCCGCCAATGCAGAACGTGCACTGAAACAAATAATGGCAGACTAGCAAAGTTAAGGTGGATACACTACGGAAGAAGTACAAGGAAAGGATTCATTTAACTTTATGGAGCTTGTTCAGAATGAGTGAAATCATGTAGAGTATTTGTAAATGAATACTCGAATTTCCTAATAATGTAGATAACTTTTCTTATTTGCAAATTGCATAGAAATTTGTGTAACAAATTCAAAATAAATTAATCTTAGTAATACTTTTTTAATTCTTTATTTTTATCAAGAGGCAACCAGGTACAGGGCAAACATACAAACTTTGTAAAGCCCTTGCATATTAATGATATGATGGCGAAAACATTACAAAACACATTCAAACATAAACTAATTTCACATTTATTTTTAATCATCTACCAAATTGGAAAAAGAGCAGACTATTACCACTGAGCGAACTTATTTTATATAACAACAAAAGTCTAAGTTGGAATGGCCTCGAAAGCTATAAAAACTGAGAAACTTTTTAGGTGTTTCCCAAGGCCGGAAGCCAGACTTCAACATCATTTGTTTGCTTTGAAGGCTAGCTTGCTTTTAATCCAATCAAAACGGGGCTTGTTTTTTTTCGCAGTGCACAGGAATAGCCTCCGTTCACCAGCGGCTAACACAAACTATGCATGTTGACTGCTCTATCCATCTCTCTCCTACCGTATCTGCCCCTCTCACTCACTCCGCCGCCTCTGTCTCTTTCAGTTATGATTTATTATTCGGCATCACGGAGTCAGAATCCTATCACACACTGGCCGCATTAGCACTCGAGGAAGGATTACGTGAAAATGAACGCGATAATTTATTGCGCTTCTATATGCAGAGCCGCTTTGATGTACGCCCCGATTTGGCATTGGCTGCCACGCTGAAGAAGTAAGTGAAATTTATGCTCCAATTTATGACGGCGGGCAATGCAAATCCGCGCAGCCCAAAGCTGGCTACCGCCTCACTAAGGGCGCAAACTTACTTCGCGTTCGCGTTCGCGTTTCGCATTTAACATAGTTGCCGCAGTGCGAGCGATCCGATTGACTGGTTTGCATGGCTGTAAGTACACGGCCATATCGTTCATCTCAATTAGAATTGTTTATGTGGGGCAATTTGTTTGCTAAGTGCCGCGGATTAGCGACGCCCGCCTGAAATGTTGGTTAGGCAATTTACTCCCGGCATTGACGTCACCGGAATCCAGTGGATCCGGCTTTAAGGTTTAATTTAAATTGAAATTTATTCGGGTACGGAAATTTGTTTCGTCTTCGGGCCGATTTTATTGCGAGAGGGCTCCTTGGAACTGCCGCCATAAATTATAATAAACGACTAGCCAACTGATCCGAAGAGCTGCCGCAGAAGAGCACTATTATGTCACGAAAGGGCTACTTATTACTGGGAACCGTTGACGTTCCCGCGGGTCGACATTACTCCCTTCATTTGGCGAAAACAATGCCAACGACTATCTCGTTTTCGCAGAAGGCGACCAGTGCCGCTCCTTCCCGTTCGCCGGCAAAGTTTTGAGTGCAATAAATAAATTGCACAATGCACAGCAGTGACCTCCTGGCAGCCGGAGTAGTCCCATCCACCCACGCCCATTCAATGTCAACGTTTCTCGGTCCCAAACGAATCCTGAGCTCAGTTTTTCGGTGGCGTCCTATAAAGTTATTTGCACAAAAGATGCAATTGTTTCTAAAGATGCCCGGCTAGGATTATAAGCGGAATGTCCAGACGATGCAGCGTGTGGAAATATAAATCCCATTGGAAGAAGAACGAATGTTGAATGTGCTTTTCTGAGAGTCTTAACAAGCTACGGTTAAAATAATTGTATAAATAATTCAAATGAAATGTATGAATTAAATGAAATTGTTGAATTTTCTTATTGTTATAACAATAGTAACAGGAAGGATAAAGTACTATTTTTATACCCGATACTCGTAGAGTAATCGGATCTTATTTTCGTTTTATCTGCACTCAAAAAATATTTTTTCTAATACATAGAATTTCGCCTTTGATTTTAGAAAATCTGGGTTTGGATTTATTGGCGAAATTGTCTATATTACAGAGAGAAGGTTTTTACTTTACAGGGCGACATTTTTCTAAAACATAGAAATACTTTATAAGAAAAGAACTAGCCGGTTGCGTCATACTGACACCACGTTCAACTTTGCTCAAAACCCGTATAAGAATTCAAAGAGAAAAGTATGCAATAAAATTGCTTCTTTAAAAGTCAGCCCAGTAAAAAATTAAAAATAAAAACAGAACATTGTGGAAAAAAACATAAAGTAGTAAGTACAGGATTTGAACCCGGGTCCAAAAAAGTTACGCAATGTTTGCTGTTTAATCCTCTAGGATAAGCATTTTAAAAATTATTTTCTTATACATTTTCTAAAAGCAAAGGCGATTTTATTTGTAAATATAGAAAATAAGGTAGATACAGCTTAGAAAAAAACATTCTGATAGCTTAGAAAATATTATCTAAAAATTCTTTTTTCCTTATTTTGAAATTTTTGTTTAAATGTATGAAAAAAAAATTGTTGAGTGTATTAAGTATCGTACAAAATAGCGTCTAGTTTGTTAAATCTTAAACTTTTGGTGCAAAAAAAAGAAAAGAAAATGACAGAAGCCAAATTTGCTTTGCAATCGGAAAATTTGAGCCTCCTCGATAATAGCGCTTAAGTTATCTTTTTGAATAATTTGAAACTTACTTTCAATATAAAAAAAAAATTTTTGTTCGAGTTTTCTAAAAAAGTATCAATAAAAAATAATCAATAATCATTGGAAAGGAACATTTTTTTGCCTGTCCGGATTTCTTTGTCCACTACTGTATACCTAATTCAGTACCTAGTGTATCGGGCTTCGGCACACTTTGTTTTATACAACGGTGGGTAAAATTATTTTTTGATTCCCTATCATTAAGTGCTTTTATCTCAATAACAAAGTTCGGCAATAGTCAAGTTAAACAGTAGGACAATGTTAAATACTCGTTAGTTTAGTTACCTACTAGACATAAATTATTTTCGTTTCAATTTCCTTGCAAATGTTTTAATGGTATCTTCATTTATAATCATTTTGTTGAATTGCTATGAGTGTCATGTCTAGTCGCCTTGGTACAAACTCTGTTACCAACTTCAAATACCCCTTGAATGGCGGAAAGTGGTCCAAAAACTATCTAAGCTGCTGGCATTCGCCTGTAGCGGATAACAGCAATAACACCCGCAACAACAAAAACAGTAACGGCTTGAAAGCAACAACAGCGGCCATAAGAATAAACAACAAACAAAAAACAAAAACACAACGACAACGACAACTGAGAGAAAAAAGAAGGACAAACAAACGATTGAAAGGAAGTTCACACAATCAACAACAGATGCGCTTTTTCACATACGAATAACTGAACATGGAAACTCTCCAGGGGAAATTGTTTTGTATGACGTCGGAGGGGAGGTGGGAGTGTGGTGTGGGTGTGGGTGTGGGTGATCTGTGGAAGCGGCGGCCTTTCAGGCTTTGCTTGCACATATTTGGCGCTTTTCTCACTGTTAACTGCATCCCAGTGGCAATGTTTTGTTGTCCGTCATTGAATTAAATGGCAGCCCAAACAGCATTCGGACCCACGGACAGCGCAAAAACGGACGAAGGCAGCCATTGACGGACAGCTGTGCTTTTGTTTCGTTTCATTTCATCGCAGCTCCTGACTTTTCCTCCAGTTTTTCCCTAGTTAAGGGCGGAGTGCCACATTCCAGGGCTTTTGACCCGCGAAAACTGGCAATCGACCGTTGTTCAGATGTTCGACCCGACACCCTTAACAACCAATGCATCCTGCGTGGAACACCTGCAGTTCTTTTTGTCTTGTGTATGAATACTACATACAGTTTTAATAAACTGACCTAAATTACAGCATTCCGGATAGATTCGTCATTTTTGAACTGTTAAAATGATTTGATTTTCGAAATTAAATCAATGAATAAAAACAACGATTTCCGCCAATTCACAGTTAAAGCAAAACTATCTGTATCTGCAACTTTTTGTAATCGCTGTTTCGGTGAAATGCCAATAAAAAAAAATTTAATGGAATTTACATAAGGTGTACATGGGTCATGACATAATACACGAAAGTGTCATGGCGCTCGCAGGGTGTAACGCCCGAAGCGAATAAATATTAAATTCTTATTGTAAAAGCAATTCGTGTTTAATTTTAGTCAAATAGCCGCCAGTCCTAACCTATGTTATGAGATTGAAATGTGGTCATTCTGTTGACAATAAAAACATAAAAACTCAAATTTTGTTTTAACAAAAACGAAAGCAAACTTAGGCAAGCCGAAGTTCATATACCCTTGCAGCTATTGCAAGAATTAAGTATTTTTATAACATTAAAATTATAATTTACTTGCGTATGTGTTTAAAAACATTGAAGCTATGATCATTTGCAGCTCAAATATTAGTTATTTTATATATTTTTATTATTTCTATGGGAGCTATATGATATAGTCGTCCGATTTTGATGAAATTTTTATTTATATATTTATTTTATTATTTTTATTTATATATTTATATTTAACCATTACTTCTTCGACATAACTAAAAAAAAAAAATGATAAACAGCAAAGTTAGAGTTTTATTTTATTTATTTTTCCGGTTGTTCCTATGCTATAGTCGTCCGATCCGGCTCGTTCCGACTCATATACTACCTGCAATAGAAAGACAACTTTTCGGAAAGTTTCATGCAGATAGGTTTAAAACTGAGAAACAAGATTCCGTAGAAACGGACGGACAGACGGACGGACAGACGGACATGGCTAGATCGACTCGACTTTTGAAAAAATTGAAAACAAAAATTTCATACAAACTTCATAATGCCCTTGCGCTCTGTGACACTTTGAAAGTGGGCGTAATGACACTTACAGATATAAGAATTATAATATATTTTATACAGCAACTTAATTTCGATTCTTATGGTTATATATTAAAAGTTAATATTTAATTGTATGAAAACAATAAAGCTTTGTCGATCGCAGCTATATAAAATCTTGGTCTGACCTTGGTACAGTTTAAGCCGTTATCTCAAATATTAATTTGCTGACTATTGTACCTATATTCCCATAAATTGATAAGCAGCGAAGTTAATTTTCTTTTAAATTTATTTTCTGATTGTTCCAATGGGAGCTACTAGATATAGTCGTCCGATCCGGCCCGCTTTGACTTATATATGTTCTCCTTGCAATAGAAAGATAACTTTAAGGAAAGTTTCTTTACAATAAACCAACGGACTGATTGACAGACTGGCATGGCTAGATGATGCTGATCAAGAATATATATAGTGTAATGGGTCAATAAAATATCTTGCAAACTTTTGTCTGAAATTCAAGCGCCCTCTGCAATTTTTACATTCTTACAGTTTTGTATAAACGTAAGTAGGTAACTATCTATTTGATAAGATCTATTTTATCACAATGCTAGTAAATGTTATCTCCAAGATATATGTGGGGCTTCTTTGAATTAATTTCTTGGAGCGGATCCAACCAGGGTATTACATCCGAAATTGCCTTCCCAGAGAATATATATACACTTTCCCGGCAATCTTGTGAGCTGATTGCATTTCATTTTGCAGTTCGCCGCTTATGATTTCTCATAATCCTCCTTTGAGGCGCCTTAAAGCGCACACAATTGCTTTCGCAGCCGTGCCCCGATTTCATTTTGGCCCAACTCAAAGGAAAACTTAAAGTGGCTCTGCAAAGGGCCCTCGAATGCACTTTTTCTGTGTGCATATCCTCTTTTGGTGGGCCATTTTATCTGCTGCAGTGTCGCAAGTTTTAGCCAGCGCCCGAAACTTTTAGGCGTTGCGCCACCTTCAATAGTTTTTGGTTTATGGCTGGCATGGATGCCAGCCTTTC